GGGAGGATGTGGAGGATGAGGAGGAGGACGGGGGAAAGATTGCACGACCAGAAGGATGGGGTACCCCCTTCTGAGTGCTACGGGCCCCCAGTTGCGTCGGACGGGAGATTCACTGGCGTTTCCAGCGACCAGAGGCGCCGAGAAAAACAGTTGCGTGCAGCTGATTCGCAAAACCTTTTCTGTCCCCCGCCCCAATCCAGGCGGCTCCTGAGGGCCAAAAAATGCCAAACTGCAAAAATATGTTTGTCAGCGTGGGCCCCAAGAGGAAAGGTCGTTCCACTGTCGATGCGCAATCTCTGAGGTACAAGATATACGTGGTGCAAGCTATGCGGTGTAAACTGTATGGCGTACGGAACGCAGTGACAGTTGCGTTTTGCAGTATATGTGGTGTAAACTATGCCGCGCAAGCTGTGTAGTGGAAGCTGTGCGGTGTAAGCTATGTGATATAAGCTATGTGGTGTACGTGATGTACTTAGGCTATGTGCTGAAATATTGTTGTTGTGCGTAGCACCCCGCAGTTGCGGATAAGAGTGAGGGGGGCGGCTGGGACGTCGGCAGTTTGCGAGGCTCTGAGGAAGCCCGCCGCAGGCGCCAATTTTTACGAATTGTGCAAATAGCCCGCCGCAGGCGCCGATTTGTTCGGTAAAGCAATGATGGTGGATCGCGGGATAGGTCGCAAGTGGGTCCCGGGTGGGTCGCGGGCGGATCGCGGGTGGGTCTTGGTCCGGGTCTCGGGTGGGTCGTGGGTAGGTCGCGGGTGGGTCGCGGACTGGGGTGGGTCGCGGGTGGGTCCCAGGAGGGTCCCAGGTGGGTCGCGGGCCAGGTCGCGGGCCAGGTCGCGGGGGGGACAACGACAACAAACAACAACAACAACAACAACAACAACAACAACAACACCAACAACAACAACACCAACAACAACAACAACAACACCAACAACAACACCACCACCAACAACAACAACACTAACAACAACAACATCAACAACAATAACAACATCAACAACAGCAGCAGCAGCAACAACAACAACATCGGCAGCAACAACAACAACCACAACCACAACCACAACCACAACCACAATAACAGCAATAAACAAACAAACAAACAAACAAACAAACAAACAAACAAACAAACAAAAACAACAACAGCAACAACAACAACAACAACAACAAACAAAAGCAACAACAAAAGCAACACCAACCACACAACAAACAACAAGACACAACCAACCACACAAACAAACAAACATGTTTGATAATTTTTGATTCGCGGGTCGAGAGCGAGCCTCTTCCGGTCGAAACTAAGCGGGCCGCGCACAGATTTAATTACAGAGGGAAGGAAAAAGAAGGCGGGGCCTCACGTCAAGAGGCCAGGAGAGGGCAAAGACACACATACAAACATGCAACCAAACAAACAAACAACAAACAACGAACTACCACCACCACCAGTAACAACAACAACAATCCGCACCGCAGAACCTCACTTCAGCCACGCGCCCAGTCACAGTGAATGACCGTTCGGCCCCCTGTGGTGGAGACTGTCTGGTGCAAGCTAGTGTGGTGTGCAAGCGATGTGGTGCAGTGCAAGCTATGCAGTGTAGGCCATGTGGTGTATGCTGCGTGGTGCAAGCTATGCTGTGCAACCTGCACGGTGCAAGCCGCGTGGAACGCAGCTCGAGGCGCCAGCGGGCGGGCTCCGGGCGGAAGCCCGCCGAACGCCCGCCTGGCTGCTCCGGCAGCCCAAGCGAGAGCCCCACACGTTGCTGGCACTCATGACTTGGGGAATGGCGGCAATCTCGGCCGCCCATCCTCCAAAGGGTTTAGGGTTTAGGGTTTAGGGTTTAGGGTATAGGGTGTTGCCCGCAAAGCGGTGTGGGCGCGCGCACGCATCCCACCCCCACATCAAGATTGTTGGGGGTGGGATGCTGTGTGCGCGCTCGCGTTGCTTGTCCTCCCGCCCCAATCCACCCCGGCTATTCTCTTTTAGGGCTTAGGGACACGGAGAGTTCTTCCCCCCAGCCCCCACTCATGGGGGTGTCGAACACCACGTCGTCCTAGCTGAGAACGCGCAGGCGCTGTAACGCATTGGGGAACAGCCTCCAGGTTTAGTTCGCGCGTTGGGGAACGCCCGACCGGGCGATCTCTTCCGACTGTCGCAGGAGCGGTTCTGCGCGGTGGCGCACGCGCAGCGGTTTGCCGGCCAACGGGGTGTCGTACCTTGTGGCCCATGTTACGCTGGCGACGCCAGAACCGCGCCTGCGCGCTCTTTTTCAATGCCCAGGCGCGCTGGCGAGCGCATATGGCGATTGAAGTAAACTTACGCAGATGCCTCAATCTCAGAAGCGATCATGGTGGGCCACGACAAAGGAGACCAGCTCGCCAGACGCTCCGCGGTTCGCGCGCGCGCGAAGTTCCCGCGCTGACACCACGTCGTCCTAGAGTCTCCGGGGTTCGTTCGCGCGTTGGGGCACGCCCGTCCGGGCGACTTTTTCCGATTCTCGCAGGAGCGATTCTGCGCGGTGGCGCACGCGCAGCGCTTTGTCTCGGATGGCGGGAGGGGGAGCTCGAGGGGGCGGGCCTGGCGCCCCCTCGATGCGACGCACCAGGCAGCGCGTCGCGTGCGTCAGCCGGCCGGCCGGCCGGCCGTCCGGCCGTCGAGTGTATTCCTTATCGCTGAATTACGTTGGCGACGCCAGAGCCGCGCCTGCGCGCTCCTTTTCGGTGCGCAATCGCGCTGGCGAGCGCATATCGCGATTGGGGTAAAATTACGCATCTGCTTCAATCTCAGAGAGGATCATGTTGCGCCACGACAAAGGGGACCAGTTCGCCGGACGCTCCGCGGCTCGCGCGCGCGCGAGGTTCCCGCGCTGGGGACCCCCTGGGAGCGCTTGGGGAGCCTCTGGGACGCGTGGGAGCGCCTGGGGAGCGCCTGGGAGCGCGCCCAGGCGCGCTGGGAGCGCCTGGAGAGCCCCTGGCAGCGTTTTCCTAGGTTTTCCTAGGTTCCTGGGGGATCTCGTGACCGCGCTGGCGTTGGGTTCCGGCTTTGGGGTCTTATTTCCTGCTACGCAGGTAGCCTGTGGCGTAGCCAGCCTGAGGCGTGGCGTGTGGGCGGTCGAGCTTAACCTTTCCCTTTCCGGAGATTCTCCAGGCGCTCCACTGAACGTTCCGACCAAGGCTCGTATGCGTCTGGGGCATCCCGACAGCGACGCATACTCGAGTTTAGGGTTCCGGTCTCGAGCTAAACGGTGTTTGGGCAATTTCATAAACCGTTTTCGTCTTGACTTCGTTTTGCAGCAAATGTGGAGCGAAGACAGAACTAGGGACGACGAAAACAATACGAAAACGGAAAATACTGTTTAACTCGAGCCCTGGGCTGCAATCTCGGCCGCCCATCCTCCAAACTCTCCCCTCCCGACGGCGGCGGCGGCGGCGGCGGCGGCGGCGGCGGCGGCGGCGGCGGCGAGCAGCAGCAGCAGCAGCAGCAGCAGCAGCAGCAGCAGCAGCAGCAGCAGCAGCAGCAGCAGCAGCAGCAGCAGCAGCGAGGAGCGGCGGAGGAGGCGGTCCCTCGGCGCCGGGGCAGGGCGACCAGTTCGAGGTGGCGACGGACGGCGGCGTGCTTGAGTTCGATGCGCCCGGCTTCCCGCTCTTCCGCAAGCTGGCGTGGTCCTCAGGACTCCACGGGCAGGGAGGCGAATCGGGGGGAGGAGAAGCGAGGATCTGGGTGAGGAGGGGAGGAGCATCGAGGAGGGGGAGGAGGATCGAGGAGCGAGGTTCACAGAAGTTCGCGGCCGCTTTGGGGCCGCTGGAGATCTCCGGGCCTCCAGAGCGGGCCTCCAGGGACCTCCAGAGGCCCGTGGGGGCCCCCAGAGACCTCCGGGGACCTCCCTGGAGACTCCAAAGAGGAGGATCGGGGCCGGCGAACCCTCAGAGACAAGAAAGCAAACGATGTTATATGGCGTATGTGTTGCGTGTTGCGCTGTGACAAATAACTGGGTAACTTCTCTCACCTTTGACACTTTATGGCGCCTCTTGGGGTCTGTTGGGAGGCCTGTTGGGATCAGTGTGGGCCTCGGGGGAGCTTCTTGAGGGCCTCGCGGGGGCGCCTCGGTGCCTAGTAAGGCCGTACATGAGGCAGGAAGGTAGATGGGAATACAGATTTAATTTTGGGCCCTCTAAGGGGCTCCCTTGGGAGGGCTGGTAGGCTTGATGCCGAATTTCAAACACTCTCGCAGCTTTCCAGGAAGCCTCAGAGGAAGTTCAAGGATGGCCCAGGATGGTTTCCAGCACCATTCTTGCTCAAGCCGCTGTTGTCGCGGAAGTCCGCATCACGCACTTCATAGTTCCGTTCGCCTTCGGGGTCGTTCGCGTCCTGGTCTTCGTCGCAATTTATACGCATCAAGGACGAAAATATCAGTAAGGATGCCAACACCCCTAGTACTCTGCCAATGGCAAACACCAGTCAGCCAAACTCGGGCGGGTCACAGTTCTTCATCAATGTTGCTGACAACAGACATTTGGACTGATTCGCACCTGGCTCATCGAAGCACCCTGTTTTGGCAAGGTCGCCAAATCGATGAACGCTTGCGCGTCCACCAGCGAAGCGAAGACCTGCGCCGATAACCCTGCCGAGCCGATCAAGATGAACAAGATCACCATCAGTGGCAGCGTGCATGCACACTGTCAGGGCCGAGGGTGACCAGGCACGGTGGCGCTTTATTGGTGCCTTCTTCGCAGAATTAGCCACGAATTTGGAGGAGGAGGAGGAGGAGGAGGAGGAGGAGGAGGAGGAGGAGGAGGAGGAGGGGGAGGAGGAGGAGGAGGAGGCGGAGCTTTCGGAGGTCCGCGCGGTTTCCTTCGGTCTGCGCGTCATTCCCCGGGCGGCGCCGGAGGCCCCTCCACGGGGGGGGGGCCCGGCGCTGGCCCGAGCGACCCGCGCGGGCCCCGATAGCCTGTGCGCACGCCCGCTCCTCTGCACCCCCCCTGCGCACGCGGGAGGGTGCGCGGAGCTGCTTGGGCCGACCGCCTCTCCCCCTCTCCGCAAGGGGGTCGCCTCTCCCTCTCTCCGCCGGTCGGGCGGGGCGCGGGGCGGCAGGGACGCCTGGGAGAGGCCCCGGGTCCGAGGCCTCCCCCCGCGCTCTGCGCTGGCGGCGGCCCTCCTCCTCCTCCGCCTCCTCCTCCTCCTCCTCCTCCTCCTCCTCCTCCTCCTCCTCCTTGCCTGCGCACGGCGAGGAGTGCTTGCAATGTCTTGCCCCCTCCTGGTCGTTGCAGCGGTGAGCCGAGAGTCAACGTGCAGGCTCTCCATGATTTCCAGCACAGATGCGTGGTATTTGATTGCTCGAATGATTCGTTGCTGATCGTGTACACCATCTGTAAAGGGTATACTTCAGGCGGCCGTCTTGCGAAGCTCGGTGGTCAGTGCACGGGACCGCCCAGAGATAAGAAGACGGTCCTAGACAGGAAGTATAACCGTGACAGCTGGAATCAGATTTGCAAGGGCCTCCATCCTAAGGAAAGTGGAGTGACCCTGCTTCAAGACTCTTTCAGTGTGCTATAGGCATGCAGCGTAGCGGTGGTGCTCGAAAATCCTCCTCCTCCTCCTCCTCCCTCCTCCTCCTCCTCCTCCTCCTCCTCCTCCCCCTCCTCCTCCTCCTCCTCCTCCTTCCTTCTCGTCCTCCCCTTTCCCTCCTCCTCCGCCCCCTCCTCCTCCTCCTCCTCCTCCTCCTCCTCCTCCTCCTGATCTGGCCGATGTGGAACGACCGGCCGCGCCGCCGCCGCGCCGCCGAGTGCGGCGTCGCCGTGCGCTCCCTGGACTCGGTGCCGCCCTCGTCACGGCCGTGGCTCGGGCCCTCAACAAGGGCACGGGCAAGGAGCATCAGCGGCACCGCAACGGGTGCTCACTAAAGGGTATTTTGGAGAGTTGCAGAAAGTTGCCACTTTAAGGGCCTCTTCCTGGCATTGCGGCGTTGCCCACATCGGGGAGGGCTGGGCTCGCCGGGTCACCGGTCAAAGTGCCCGCCCGTGGAGTCCCCGTGGAGTACCGAAGGTGGCTCGTGGCGGTCCTGCAGGCGCGCCGCGCGGGGGGGCTCCGCTGCCCCGGCGGCGTCGAGGTGGCCCCTCGGAGGCTTTCTGCGGAGAGTTGCCCGAGGGGGCCCACCGTGGTCCTCCGAGCTTGATTTTTTGGTTTTGGTACCTCACCACCCACCAAACCACCCCAACCCAACCCGAAGCCCTCACTTTGCCTTCCATTTCCAGTGGGGGGGTGTCGGGGAACGTTGAAAAAACACATGGTATCCGTACCGCCCCCCACCCGAAATTCGGGTCTTCGGGTTGGGTTGGGGTGGTCTGGTAGGTAGTCAGTACCAGGCTCGCAGCACGAGAACTCTCACCAAACAGTCGCCCAGAGCAGGGCAGAGCAGGCGCTCAGATTGGGAGCAACAGCGTGGGCTGTGACTGTCCTTCATAACCTGGGGAGCGGCTCCTCCGAGTTGTTCTCTTGTTGCCAAGCTCGCAGCACGAGAACCCTCACCACACAGTCGCCCACAGCAGGCAGAACAGTCGCCCAGCTTGGGAAAGTCAGTGCGGGTTGTCCTTGAAAAGCTTGGGGGGGAAGGGCGGCGCGGCGCCTTCGGCGCGCGGCGTTTCTCCGCGAAGCGCACTGATTTGGGGCAGCGTGGCCAGGGGGATCCCGCGCTAGCCAAGACGCGCAGCGCAGTGTTCAGCTCGACGGCCCGAGTGGCCCAAGCCGTCAGAGCGCTCGGGCTTCTCCCCAGAGAGTGCCCGCACTGCTGGGCCCTTCCCCTGTCAGGGCCCCCCGCCCCAGGGGGTCGCAGGGGTCCCGCCATAGACGCGCAGGGGCCCAGCCTGCAGGGCGGGGCCCTGCCGGTACGGGTAGGGTCTCGCTCCCTGGGGTGCAGCCCGCGGGTCGCGCCCACAGGGTCGCACGGTGGGGTCCCGCCCACGGTGCCCCGTTCATGAAGATGTGGGGCAGGGGGGAGGGAGAGGGGGCAGAGGGACAAGCCAGCTGCGCTCGCGCTTCCTCCGGCGTCCTGCCCCTCCCTCCCCTGCCCTTCTCCACTGCGTCGGGCCCCTCTCCATTCGCAGAGTGGGGTGCCGGTACACGACCTCGATCCCGAAAGCGCCACCTGGTCAAAGAGGATCTCGACCTTGGGGAGCCAGGAGCTGGGAGCGCATCAGAAGATGCGGGGGGCGCGGGGCACGCGCTGCAGCGGGAGCACCAGTGCTGCTGATGCAGAGTACGGCCACCGCTGCGGGGAGAGCGTCGTTCACTCGGACGGAAGATCGACGGATTGTAGTAATCACATGTGGCAAGCGCTACAGCGGGACGACGACAGGGACCACGAGAACCACAATCGAGTTCATTACCACGACGCCAGCGACGACGAGGACGACGAGGACCACCACGACGTCGACGACGGCGTCCACGACGCCGCCGACGACGCCGACGATGCCGACGACGCCGACGATGCCGACGACGTCGACGAAGCCGATGACACCGACAACGCCGAAGCCGACGCCGACGCGGACGACGACGACGACGACGACGACGACGACGACGGCGGTGGCGGCGGCGACCACGACGGCGACCACGACGGCGACGACGATGGCGACGACGCCGCTGGCGACGACGGCGACGGCGATGGCGACGAGGGGAGGCGCCTACAACGACGACTTCTGCCCCGACGCCTTCGATCGCGCCCAGTGGCGGGGCGTGCGCGGCATAGTTTGCCAGGGGGGGGGGCTTCCGCGGGACCAGCGCTGGGGTGGGCGGCCCGCTGGGGGGGTTGGGGGGGCCACGCTGAACCCTAGGAGGGGGAGCAGGAGGAGGAGGAGGAGCAGGAGGAGGAGGAGCAGGAGGAGGAGCAGGAGGAGGAGGAGGAGGAGGAGGAGGAGGAGGAGGAAGACCAGTGTAAACCCAAGGCTAATCAAGGATGTTGCAATAAGCCCTCTCTCCAAGCTCCCTCTTCATGGGCCCCAAGAAGGGCTCATTTCCACTGAGGGAAGTGCTCCCTTGGGAGACAACCGTCTGAAAATCCTGAACCGCGCCAAAGCACCACTCTTGGGACTGCATCGCCACGAATCAACCTTATATAACCTTACTGCTGTGTCTTGACGATCCTGAATCGTGCCAGAACACCAGTCCTGGGATCCCACCACCGCGAATCAACGGAACTGCTGCGCAGTGACAATCCTACATCTTTCCAGAACGTCATTTGTTGTACGTTAACCATGAGAAACCGCGAAACTCTTACAATGTTATAAACGAATGTGCGTGGCACTACGGCGAGAGCCACATGTTGAAAAGGACTCGGGCTTCACCTGTGAAAGTTCTGCAGTTTTTTAGACGATCCTGCGCGGCGCCAGGGCGACAGCGACATTTTTGAAAACGGCCTATCTCAATCCGTGAAGCTCTAGCAGTTCTTATTCAACGAATGTACGCGGCGCTAAGGCAAGAGCCACATTTCGGAAGCGGCCCGCCCTCCATCTTCAAAGTTGTTGCAGAATTTGAAGCGCCAGTGTCATAAATGATCGGAAAGTCTCAGGCGAAACGCCCAGCCCGCCCTTTCAACCAGATCTGGGGTGCGACAGAGAGGAGCTAATACGGAAAAGGAATGGAAGAGAAGAAGAGGGGGAGGAGGGGGAGGAGGAGGAG